GAAGCCAATTGCCTCCATTGTGGCGAACATGAGGGACCAGTCCACCCTGTCGAACGCTTTTTCAGCGTCGATCGCTAATAGTAGGCTCTGTGTGTTCGATCTGTGGGCTAGATGTATTAAGTTGAGCAGCTTAGTGGTATTGTTTTTGGCTTCCCGTGCGGGCACAAAGCCGGCCTGGTCAGGGTGGACTAGCCCCTGTAGGAGGGGGCGGAGACGGTTGGCGAGAATCTTGGCAAAGAGTTTGAGGTCGTTGTTAATGAGGGAAATTGGGCGGTAGCTTCCGCAGAGGGAAATGTCTTTCCCGGGTTTTGGGATGAGTGTAATGTGTGCCTCAAGTGTGGAGTCTGGTAGGGAAGGGGAGGTGATCAGGGAATTATATGCTGTCACGAAGGGAGTGGCGAGCAGGTCTGAAAACGTCTTATAGTATTTGGTAGTGAAGCCATCTGGGCCAGGGCTTTTCCCTAGGGGAGAGGTGCGTACAATTTGAAGGAATTCATCTATGTGTATTGGTTCCTCTAGGTGTTGTAGGAGGTTGTTGGGTACTGTCTGCTTGATTCGGGGAGCAAGGTATTGCTCCAGTTCGAGTCTAGATGGTGGGGTTTTACGTATGTTATAGAGGTCGGCATAGAACTCTTGGAAGGCTTTGAGTATATCCGGGAGTTTATGGGACGTGTCTCCTGATGGTGTTTTGATTTTGGATATGAAGGTGGATTGTTTCGTGTCGCGGAGTGCGTTGGCTAGAAGGCGTCCGCATTTACCGCCTTGGGAGTAGTATGAGTGTTTAGTAAAAAGCGTCTGCTGTTTGAATTTGGCGTTGGTAATTTGTTGGAGTTCTGACCTTTTCTCAACGAGTAGTTTGTATGTGTCTAATGCGTTATTACGTTTGTGGGAGTTTTCCAGGGTTCTAATTTCAGTTAGTAGTAGGGAGGCTTTCTCGGTACGTTGTCTTTTGAGTTTGGAGGCCATCGCTATGAGGTGGCCCCTGAGGACACATTTATGTGCCTCCCATAGGATGGTAGGTGACGTGGAGGGGTGAGCGTTTTCTTGGAAGTATTGCGAGATAGTGGTACGGGCTTTATCAGTGACTTCATTATTGTTTAGCAGTAGGTCGTTCAGTTTCCAATGAAAGGATTTTGGCGGCAGGTTAGGGATGCGAATGGCAAGAGACAGGGGTGCGTGGTCTGACCATGTGATGGGACCATAGTCACATGATTGCACTAAGTGGAGAAACCGGTGTTGTGTGGATAGCATGTCGATGCGTGAGTATGTTTTAGTTGCGTGTGAGTAGAATGAATAGTCTCTGGCCGTGGGGTGTGTGGTGCGCCAGATGTCGAAGAGGCGTGTGTCATCTAAAAGCGAGGTGATTCTTCTCCTGGCAGTGGAGTGGTAGGAAGAGGCCGTGGATGTGGTGTCCAATGTTGTGTCGAGGGAAATATTAAAGTCGCCTCCAAGGAGAAGAATACCCTCTGTGAATCTCTCCACCATGTGGAGATATTTGCTAAGTGATTTGCCCTGTCTTCTGTTAGGGAGATATAGGTTGACTAGTGTGATCGTGGTGCTGCCGATTTGTCCTTTGAGCATAAGTAACCGCCCAGAGGCCGTGGTTTTGTGGGTTTTATATATAAACGGAGTGTTGGCGGCTATTAATATGGCCACTCCTCTCGCTTTGGAGTCTGAGTAATTGCTAAAATAGCCTGTGGGGTAGCGCTTGTTATGGAGCGTGGGTGCTACACCTTCTTTGAAGTGAGTTTCCTGAAGGAATGCTATGTCTGCGTGCTGAGCCTGGAGTTCTGATAGCACTTGTGAGCGCTTTTCGGGGAGATTGAGGCCTCTTGCGTTTAGAGAGATTACTCGCAGAGTGGCCATGTCTTTGGGAGGGAGGGGGGGGGGGGGGGGGGTGGAAGGTCTTTGAACTCGGACCTTGGGGGAGGGGGGGGGGTTAAACAGTAAAATACTAACTATTTACAAATAAGGAAACACCTGTTTAGCGAGTCCTTATAGAGTTATGTGTTTCCAGGACAACTGGTAGCGATGGCAACGGTCCTCGGGTATTTACAGGTGATAGCCGGGGATTGTTGTAGTTGCCTCTCTACTGGGGTGGTTTTCCAGTATTGATTACTCAGTTGTTGAGAAAGTACCCGACGTCTCGGGTAAGGGGGGGGGGGTGTATGCCTGTGTGAAGAGTGTAGTTTGTGGAGGGGGGGGGGCAGATGGGATCTCTGCGTGTGAGATGAGAGATTCGTCCGAGCGGTCGGGGGTGGGGAATCCTCTGTGGTATGGAAGAAAGTCGTAGATGGGCTGGGGATCGTGGACCCTTAGTCATTGCTTGGAGTGGTGAGGTGCGACTTCGGTTGGTGGGGTTCGGGGTTGGCATCCCTCTCTGGGAGTTATGATGTTGTAGAGTGCTTATAGGTGGGAGGGAGGGTGTTAGGGATTGTGTGGGGCCTGAGGGGTGACCTTCTGGCGATATGAGTAGCCTGTCTTGGTTGGCCAGGACGGGTGTTTAGCTACGCTCTTGGGCCCCTTCCAGTGTGACGAGATAGGAACAAAAGGAACAGTAAACAAATAACAAAGAAGAGAACAGTCTATTACAGTTTTGGAGCCAGTCCGCCGAGCCTTCCCCCACGCCTCGGTCTGTCCTGGGCATAGATCCGCAGGTGAGGACAACTGGTGTGAGGCGCGTGGGAAGGCTCCCATCAGTGACAATAAAAGATACGTTATTAAAAAACAGAAATTGCATCACTAAGTACAATGAGTTATACAGGGTCCATGTGGGATACATCGTATTCGATTGTAAACGCTCAACACTGTATTAAGGTAGTAGGGGAGATGGTGCCCCTATAGCAGTTGCCTCGCTGGAAGCGGTTAAAAGGGACCCTGGGGCCGAAAGGCTTACATCATAATGTTGCATGCAAAGATATTTCATTAATACATTAGAACGTTAAAATTTTGTAGGGTACATAATATGGAGCATAGTGGGAGTAAGGGTAGACGGAGGGGATAGGATTGGAGTGGGTTGCATAGCATCTTACGTGTCCCTGGTCGTGGTGGCGGAGCACATGAGCACTCGTAGGGTCCGTGTGGGTGGCGGACCGGTGTCAGATGAGTAAACCGGGAGGGTAGTCAATCAGTCCCGTCACAGGGTCCGCATGGGATGTGCCAATGGGAGAGGGCACTGCTGGGAGTGTCGAGGCCGGAGAAGACGTGTCAGAGATGGTCTTCGCGTGTAGAAAGTTCATTTAGAAGGGTAGTGATGAGGAATAGCATGAAGTCGGTTCAGTGATGGCGGTCCACAATCTGGGCGAGCTGAAGGACTTTAGTGGCGATTTTGTGTGCATGTAGGTGGGCTGGAGCTTGGCGAATTATCTGGTCGGTCATTCCTCCTCTTCCTTCCCGGGGTTTGCCACCTTTGTCTCTGTTGCAGTGGGGCTGATGGAGCTGTCGGCATGACACCGTACCAGTCGGGGATTTGGATGTCTGGAAGGTCTAGAGCTCTTGTGAATATCCGAATGTCTTGTGCTGATGCCAGTGAGTGCGTTTTGCCATTGTGTGTGGCAATGAGAGCGAGGGGGAACCCCCATCTGTATCGAATATTCCTGGCTCTTAGCGCTTCTGTGAGAGGGCGCAGTGTGCGGCGTGCTTGAAGTGTGTGCCAGGAGAGGTCGGGGAAGATTTGGATGGGGTCATTCCGATATAGTAGCGGTTGTGAGGTTTGTCTCAGGGCTCTAAGTATTTCTTCTTTTGTGGAGAAATAGTGTACCCTGCATACCACATCACGCGGTTGGTCTCTCTGGGTACCGCGAGGCTTTAAGGCCCTGTGCGCCCTGTCCAACAGGATCGGTGTGTCCTCCGTTTGACCCAGGATGCGGTTAAACATGTCGGCTAACGTGGCATGGAGGTCTTCTTGGTCTTGTTCGGGCAGCCCTTTGATTCTCAGGTTGTTTCTGCGTCCTCGGTTGTCAATGTCATCTATTATTCTGTGCATGGCAGATAAATGCATTGTGTGTGATTGGATTGTATCCTGCATGTGTTGCATTTGTGAGGTCAGTAAGTCTCTATCGTCTTCCAGGGTGTTTACCTTCTCTTTCACTTGGCGGATATCAGATCCCAGGGATTCCAGTTTGGTCTGGAACGATACCTCCAGCCTGTCTAGCATGGCGGCGATGTCTGCCTTGGATGGCAGGTTGCGCAGCACTTCTTTCAGGCCACTATCTGGTTGGTATTGTGAGGCATCTGAGCCCTCCGGGCTCGAAGGGGCTGAGCCGTCGTGCGGGGATTCCGGCGCCATATTGGGGCCTAGCGCGCCGGCTTGGTGGTCCGCATTATCGCGGAAAAATTTCGTGAGCGCCCCGGATTTGGTTGCCGGCTGCTTAGAGGTGGTGTGCTGGGCAGTGGAGGCTCTTTTTGGGTGGCCCATCGTGTTGTTTGTGCCCGATGTTAGCGGATTCCCGATCGGCTCGGACGGAGCTCACTCAGAACACGTCCATGCGATAGCGCGGCAAGCTCCGCCCCCCTGACAGGACCTTATTTATATTTATTTTATTCCTTTTTAAACATATTTTAATATTGAATTAAAGCCAATTTTCCAAACTTCACCCGGAGTCCTGTGTTGGAGTGAAAACATCCAGGGGATTTCCCTAGGCCCCCCATACTATCGGGGAAGGCACCTTACAAGCTTCAATTTGTCCAAAATCCAGTGAGTGCATTTCAATTTGCGCAATGTCTATACTGTAAACTGTATTACACTATATTTTCTCTATTTACTTTTGTAGAGATTATCAGCCGGTTCCCTCGTTGTTTTTTCTACATTACCATATATATATACATACACACACACACACACATATATATATATATATATATACACTGCTCAAAAAAATAAAGGGAACACAAAAATAACACATCCTAGATCTGAATGAATTAAATATTCTTCTGAAATACTTTGTTCTTTACATAGTTGAATGTGCTGACAACAAAATCACACAAAAATAAAAAAAAGGTGCTGTCAAGTTGATCGCTAGCTGGGAAGCGATCTGAGGGAGGCTGTATTCATCTTCATTTGATAAGTATCTTTTGCATATATATTAAGGTGTATAAGGTACATTATTGTTGGTTGTTTTTTTAGTTTGTCATATCCCAGCATTTGTCATCCACATATATTCTTGGGGTTCTTTAGATATGGCTACCAGCATAGATTTCTTGTCTGATATGCATAAACACCGTTTAAGGAAATTTGAAGCAATTTTCCAAGAACGTGACAAACCCCAACCCCTCAGGGGATTAAATGAATATTTCAAATGTAAAGAAAAATTATTATATGGGGAAACAAAAAAATGGTGGGAAATAGCCTTCCTAGAAAATTATCTTAAGGAAGGACTTATCCCTAGGGGTCTAAGGTTGGATAAAACTCACGCTTTTGGTCTAGATAGTGAAAATTTTATGAATGAATGGGATGAGATTTTATCAAATTGTTCATTCCAGTTAATGCAACTTATCATTAAGTATTCAAAAGATATGAAAGAAAAAATTGAGGAAGAATTGGAATTATTAGATACAGATGTACAGATTGATCTAGGAAGTATTGAGTACAAAGAGAAAGATGATTTGTTACAAAAAAATGTTAAACAACTGGATGAAAAAATTGCTGAGACTAAAAGTAGGAAATATAGAAGGGACAAGGAAGATACAAATAATAGTACTTTTTCCACCTTAAATAGGATATCGAGAAGAAAACCCCATTCCTATAGAGGTTCTCATTTTAATTCTCATTCCCCTTATAGGAAAAAAACAATATCATATGATCATGGGAGGAGAAGTAAAGGTGACTCGTATTTAAAGGAGAATACTAAAAGGATTATACGTACTCCCCCAAGAGAACGATTAGAATCCAATAGAAATACACGTCCACTTGAAAAAAGGGGTAATCGCTCCCTTTCAAGAGAACGATTAGTATCTCAAAATGAAAATGCCAATACACGTCCCTTTGAAAAAAGGGGAGTTAGATCCTACGCTCAAGTAGCCAGACAAGATGAACATAATAGCAGATTCAATTCGCAATATAATGAAAAGGAAGAAAATTTTCAGGGGAGAACCCGAGGTCCCAAAGAGAAACCCATTACAAATTATTTTCACCCGAGGACCACTCCTTGGGAACATCGAAATCGGTTCTCTCCTTTACAAATAGATTCTCCAAACAAGAGAACACGAATGGAGGATTAGAGGATTCAGTACAGAATCAGGTCAGTTTGCAGGCAAAAGCAAGAGAGAAAGGTATATTTAATATATCTGGTTTACCCCTGTCGGAAAGTGAGATACAGTTATTATCAAAGGGTATGAAGTTTGCACCCAATAGAACATCAAATGAGTTTAATTTATATATAGATTTAAAAAAATATATCAGGTCATTAACATTAAAGAGACATTTTATGTTGCAATCTAGTCAGACAATGACTCCAATTATGAATGAGGAGGAACTAAGAAATCGAAAATTTAGACCTAAATCACATTTTTATCCTACACAAAACAGAGGTCCATATTTAGAGATTTTTGAAAAATTAGTGGATAGGGAGTTTAAAACAGTGATTAATAAACATAATTTGAATAATATAAATTTAACTAGAGAGGAAGATATATGTTTAAAACAACTTAAGAAGAGAGAGGATATTATAATCAAGGAAGCAGACAAGGGAGGGGGTATAGTAATTATGTCTACTAATTATTATTTAAAGGAAGCATCAAATATCCTAAGTGATGATGAAACTTATATTGTACTAACAAGGGACCCGACTAGGGAATTCAATTTGGCTCTAAAGAATCTATTAGAGGAAGCAAGATCTAATGATACAATTTCACAAGCGAATTATGATTTTTTATTTAGCAGTAATCCGAGAATTCCAATTTTTTATTTTATTCCAAAAATTCACAAACGTTTATTTAATCCCCCAGGACGTCCTATAATTAGTGGAGTAGATTCCTTGTCCGCCAACCTCTCAGCTTTTGTAGATTCATACCTACAGAAGTATGCTCAGGGCTCCCTATCTTATATTAAAGATACAAAATCATTCCTACAAGAATTGGAAAATATTGAATGGCATTCTAGTTATAGTTGGGCTACATTGGATGTGTCATCCCTTTATACTATAATTAGTCATAAATTGGGATTGGAAGCTATTAATCATTTCATGACAGAAGACCAACATTTACCTCAGGATATCAAAGAGTTTATTTTACATTCAGTTAAATTTATTTTAGAACATAATTATTTTTTCTTTAATGATAAATTTTATTTACAAATCACGGGAACCGCCATGGGCACCAGGTTCGCCCCCAGTTATGCCAACACCTATATGCGGAGATGGGAGGATCTTACAATTTGGGCTGGTCATGACTGGAGGGAGAACCTGGTGCTCTGGCGGAGATATATCGATGACGTTATTATTATTTGGAAGGGGTCTTTTTCTGCTTTTCAATGTTTTGAAAACTATTTAAATCAGAATAAATATAATTTAAAATTCACTTCTGTATGGCATCAGAATGAAATCAGTTTTTTGGATCTGTCCTTAATATGTGATAATGACTCCATAAAAACGAAGTGTTTCTTCAAACCTAGTGATGGCAATGGATATGTTCATCAGCAGAGCTGCGATCACCGCCCTTGGCTTAGAGGAATAGCCAAGGGACAATTTGCTAGGGTGAGAAGGAATTGCTCTCAAGTCAATGACTTTATTACGCAATCTGGCCACATCAGGGATAAATTGGTTGAAAGAGGTTATAAAAAGAATACATTGGATAGGGTAATCCGTATGGCTTTACAATCCGACAGGGGTAACTACCTTATGGACAAACCTTGTGTTAAATCTTATCAGGATAATACAATTACTTTTAGAACTCAATACTGTACCAATCATGTTAAAATTAGGAGAAGTTTACAAAAACATTGGTCGATTCTCCAACAGGATCCGGTATTGAATTCTGTTTTACCAGATCGGCCTAAACTTATTTTTAGAAAAAACCAAAACTTTAAGAATATTTTGGCACCCAGTTATGCCTTAAAACATCATGAGGACAGTCACAAGTCAATTGGTAATAGTTCTTTTAGGGGTTGTAATTCCTGCAAAGCTTGTCACACTGTTAATTTAGAACGCACGGATATATTCTCTAGTTTTATAACAGGGGAGGTTTTCCATATTAAGACCGAGATACATTGCCGCACGGATTATGTAGTTTATTTACTGCAGTGTCCGTGCGGCAAACAATATGTTGGCAGAACAAAGAGACTTTTAAAAGTTCGGTTTATGGAACACATCAATAATATCAAAAAGAACTTGGCTACCCACTCTATCCCAGTTCACTGTAATCATTGTTCACTATTTTCTTTTACAAAATTTAAGTGCATTGGTATTGAGAGGGTAACAACAGATTGGAGAGGGGGTGATAGAGTTAAAAAACTATCACAACGTGAGACCTACTGGATCCATAAATTACAGACATTGGAACCAGGGGGATTAAATGTTGAAGTGGATTTAGTGTGTTTTTTATGATTGCAATTCACTATTTAGTATTAAACAAAAGGATTCACTATTTAGTATTAAACAAAAGGAATACATTACATTACATATATATATAAAAGGTGAGAGAGGAGAGAAAGGGAAAAAAAGAGGAAAGAGAGAAAAGGAAGAAAAAAAAAAATTTATATTAGGATAATAAATAATGATTGACACAAATGTAGCACATTGATGAATTTATTGGAATTTATTATAAATTTAATGATGAATATAAATCACATTTTCATAAAAATATGGGATGAACTAATTGATATTATAAAATCACATTTAATATGGTATATTAGAGTGGATTGTGTACAGTTATTGAATTCATATGGTGAATAGCATAGTATTTCTTGTATGAATTATAAGATTAATACATTAATAGTGACTTTTGAGTGGTAGAGTGGAAGTATTTACATGTATTTTATGGCCAGATATTGCAGATTATAAATGGAACGCAAAACAACGAGGTTGGAACGCACATTACTTCCGGTTCCGTCAACGTGGTTGGAACGCATGCCACTTCCGGTTTATTCAACGCAGTCGGAACGCATGGCACTTCCGTGCCGGTAGTTGTCGGAGGACTATTGAACAATTCCGAAATCAGCTGTGAACACTTGGAGCCGCGATCGGCAACAGATGAACCCTATTAATGGAGGACCAATGAGGAGAGTCTGAGGATAACATGTGACTAAATTAAGATGAGGGATTAGCCCTATTTAAAGGACTTTTCGGGTGGGGATTTGTTAGGCTGTTCTTTGATTGTATTGTATCAAATTGTTTCTTAATATTGTGGTCCCTGAGGAAGTCCCTATTTTGTTAAAGGGACGAAACGCGTAGGACCTTATTTATATTTATTTTATTCCTTTTTAAACATATTTTAATATTGAATTAAAGCCAATTTTCCAAACTTCACCCGGAGTCCTGTGTTGGAGTGAAAACATCCAGGGGATTTCCCTAGGCCCCCCATACTATCGGGGAAGGCACCTTACAAGCTTCAATTTGTCCAAAATCCAGTGAGTGCATTTCAATTTGCGCAATGTCTATACTGTAAACTGTATTACACTATATTCTATTTACTTTTGTAGAGATTATCAGCCGGTTCCCTCGTTGTTTTTTCTACATTTTGCTGTCAAGTTGATCGCTAGCTGGGAAGCGATCTGAGGGAGGCTGTATTCATCTTCATTTGATAAGTATCTTTTGCATATATATTAAGGTGTATAAGGTACATTATTGTTGGTTGTTTTTTAATATATATGGTAATGTCTGATGAAAGTATTGGCAAAGGACCAAGTGGCAGCTCTACAAATCAGTTTAGGAGAGACCTTGGCGGATGAGGCCCAAGAGGAGGAGAGGGATCTCGTGGAATGAGCTTTGAGTCCATGCGGGACTGGAGCTTTTGAGGCCTGATAAGCTTGGAAGATGGCTGATACAATCCATCTGCTAATGGTAGATTTAGGAGCCTGACTGCCCTTTCTACATCCGTTATAAAAGGACAAAGAGGCCTGGAGATGAACGCCAAGGGGCGGTTCTGTCAATGTAGATTCTGAGGCATCTCACCAAATCCAAGGAGGAAAGATCTCCTTGTGGAACTGGATGCAGAGCTGGGAGAACAATTTCCTTAGGCCAAAATTCTGGGATAGTACGAAGGACGACCCTGTCCTTATGGAAGACTGTGAAAGGCTCCTTGACAAAGCATAAAGTTCTGAGACCCTTCTGCCTGAGGCCAAAGCCACCAGTAAGGCAGTTTTAACAGAGAGGAAATGGAAAGGCACTGAATCCAAAGGTTCAAAGGGGTGAGACTTTAGAGCTTGGAGAACCAGAGGCAAGTCCCAAGGTGGAGCGAACGGCTTAATCGGAGGTCTGATTTTTAGTACAGCTTTAAGAAACCTGGCCACGTCCGAATCAAAGGTCCATTTATGGTTAGTTAAAGCCGACAAGGCAGATACGTGAACCTTCAAGGTGTTGTAGCTCAGACCCTTCTTGAGGCTGGACTGAAGAAAGTCTAAGATATTGAAGGACCCTGGATCGAGACATCCCTCGAGGAAGCCCAGGAAGAGAAAACATCCCAGATTCCATAGTATGCGTTCGAAGTGGAACTTAGAATGGGAAAATTCAGGAGGAAATCACCAGTAGCTGGAAAGGGAGTCCCTCCCCATGGCTAGAGGATCATTGTCCTTCGTGAAGAAACACTCCACCTTCCTGTTCTTTCGTGTCGCAAACAAGTCTACTTGAGGAAGGTCCCATCTGTCCACTATCATTCGGAACACATCATCCGACATAGACCACTCTCCCGGATCGATTCTGGATCTGCTGAGGAAATCCGCGATCTGATACTGTTTCCCCGGGAGATTAATTGCTGTGAGGCCTGCCAGGCGTCGTTAAGACCATGACATCAACTGATGCATAAACACCATCATCCTGCGGCTCCTAGTGCCACCCTGATGGTTGATGTAGGCTACCACCGCAGCATTGTCTGACCGAATCTTCACCCAAAGGTGACGAATTAACGGAGAGAAATATTTCAGTGCTTCGAGAACAGCAAAGAGTTCCAGGAGATTGGAAGGCAAGTTGTCCGCAGGGAACTTCCACTCCTCTTGCGCAAAGTCGCGTTGACAATGGACTCCCCAACCCCAATGGCTGGCATCCGTCGCTATTACTATCCACAGAACGTCTCCCAAAGGGAAGCCCTTGGCTAAGGAGACACTGTTCAGCCAACAAACAAGGGAATTGTGAACTGACAATGGAATCTTGATGGGCTGGAGTAGACTCTTTGAGGAGAATTGGAGGAGGAAGTTTGTTTGAAAGCTCCTCATTCTCCATTGTGCCCACCTTGTCAGTCCTATCGTAGAGGACATGGAATCCAGGAGACTCATTGCCTTTTTCGCTGAAGTCACCATGCATGCCAACATCTCCAGAACCTCTTTCCGTATTATCAGGATCCTCTCTGGGGAGAGTTGAACCATCCCCGCTGAAGTGTCGAACAGAGCACCCAAGTATGTCATGGACTGACTCGGGCAAAGATGACTCTTTTTGACATTGATCCTCCAACCGTGACGTTGTACGGACAGAAGGCAAACAGTTGCATGAAAGTAGTGCTAGGGCTATAGGGATGTGGAAATAGGCATCCAACAAGTTTATTGATAACATCCACTGATTGGGAAAGACAGCCTTCACTATAGATTGAAGGGACTCCATCTTGAATCTGCGGATATGCAAGTATCGATTCAGTCTGTGTAAATTTAGGATGGGTCTCCACCCTCCCGAGGACTTTTTGGTCAGAAATAAATGTGAATAGAAGCCGTGAGTCCTTTCTGACTCTGGGACTGGTACAATGACTCCCTCTTCTTGTAGAAAAGAAATGAAGACATGAAGAGCAAGCCTTTTTACTTTGTCTCCCGGCCAACTTGTGACTTGGAAGGAACTGGAAGGAGGGTGTGTGCAAAATACTAGAAGATATCCCCTTCTGATGATAGCCAGAACCCAGTTGTCGCTACGGATCCCTCCCATGCCACATGGAATTTGAGCGAGTGTGCTCCAACACCGCCTGAGAGGGAGATGAGCTCGTCACAGATTCCTGGGGTTCTTGGAGGGTGCGTAACCTCGGGACTTGCCGTCTCTAGCACCATGTGGACCGCTCCTCCAGGATTGATTTCTCCCATCAAGCACAAGCTGCCTTTGGAGGAAGCATCAGCAGATCATGATCTGAGTCATAGCGCTCTCCTGGCCGAAACTGAGAGAGCCATATTTCTGGCTAAGGACCTCACCAGATCTACCGCAGCCTCAGATGAGAAGTCAACAGCCAATCTCAAATCTTTTAGGCTGTCCAGTATGGAGGGATGGCTCCTGCCGTTCTTAATATTCTCCTCCAAATTCTCCATCCAAACCTTAAGCGCCCTGGATACTGACATAAGGGCCACCGCTGGGTGAAGGCCAGCACCTGAAGCCACATTTGCTATGGAATGACTGAAATCCATCTTTCTGTCCATAGGGTCTTTGAAGAAACCCACACCATCAACAGGTAAAGTGGTACGTTTGGCCAATCTAACCATGGCTGCATCTACCTTGGGAGCGGAATCCCATGTTTTAGCGTCAGTGTCCACAAAAGTATACAGTCTGGAACATTTTCCTTTTGCAGAGGATTTTATGTCCGATCTGGACCATTCCTCCTTGATGAGGTCTTTTATAGTCACATGGACTGGAAAAGTCACCCTCTTCCTCCTAAGGTCAGAGAAGTGGTGACTGGATGTGGAAGGCTCATCCTTAGAAGGTTACTTCAAACTGAGAGTCTTGCGGACCCTGGATATCAAATGATCAATTTCAGCAGGTTCCAGGAAGTCTGGAGCTGGAAGCACCACATCCTCAGAAGAAGAACCCAGATCTCTCAGGGATTCCATAGACATACACTCCACATCAGAGACCTCTGGAGAACACTCAGAAGGTTCCAAACACTTTGGTCGCTTGCGGGACTTCCCAGCTTCCTGAATGCCCAGAGCGACAGCTTGTGAAATTTTCAGCAATATGTCAGGCACAGGTTGGCTGGAGGGCTGCCTTTGAGATGGGCTTGCAGCCACAGATGGGCAAGAAAAACAGAGATGTTTCCCCTCCAGGGCTCTGTTATCACAGGATTCACATTGAGTCCTTTTGGGCGACTTCCCTTTGGATGACACTGAAGCTCTAGTCCCCATAGAACTGCAGAAACAGGGACAGAACAGTGTATCAGTGATCTACACTCTTTGTAAATGTTATAGAAAACAAACCAGAAAAAAACATGGCTTACCTATAAGACTTAGATTGTGACCTTTTGTTTGGTGGGGAAGAATCAGAATTAGAGGAATCTGAGACTTCCATATCCATCTGCAGAACCAAATGCAAGAAATAATCTCAAATTGAAATTCAGAACAAATTGAAGGATACCACTTTAAAAAATAAAAAGACATTTACCTTAATGAAAAGCAGAAGAAACGAAAATCAAGCAGGAGATAGGAGGAAGCAATGCAGCATTCGCCAGAACAATTTCCACGAGTGTGTGAACCAGTGAAACAGGCGAATGAACAAACGAACGTTCACTAGAATTCATGCGAACAGTCAAAATTCAAGCGAACGGCATAATTTGAGGCGAACGGCTAAAAGCACGAACTGACACAAAACCAATTAGCAAACCATACGAACGCATGTGCGTTCAAAAAAACGAACGCCATGTGAAAATGAAAGAGAAACCACATGGACTTGCACCTTCAGAAGGACAGCGGGAAAGGCAGAGGGAAGCCGGAAACAGGGAGAAGTCCAGACCAGCAAGGTACACGTCCAGGTCCATATTCACCTGCCCACTGCTACCCCTAGGGTCACTGCAGCATTAGGGAACAAGGCATTATAGCTTGCTACCCCTTGGGTAACAGCAAGTACCAGACCCTTGGTCACTAAAGGGGTACTCTCCAGGGGGTCACCTTTGCGCAGGGCCGTGTAACTGGAGACTTCCCAAGGGAGAGAGGCTGAACTCCCAAGGGGCCAGGGGAACAAATCCCCAGGTAAGCCATAAAAAAAAAAAATAATAGTTCCAAGGAAAAAAAACACATGTCCTATAGGGATAGGACAGAAACAAAAAGACTGAGGGAGGAGGGTATAGGAGGAGGTACTTATACATTTATTTTAATTAGTTCCTGTCTAATTAGGGATAGGGAGGAGCTACCCATCACTGTGCTGCCATGGATATGGCCAGGAAATATATATACAGTATATATATATATGTAGTTGGGGACATAAGCCATAATAGCAAAATAACCACATAAGGAAATAATAGTCTGTTGTGGTGTGCTGGAACCAACGTATGGGGTAGGCCTGTAATAAAAGAGGGCAAAAAGGTTGATGTAAACAAATAACCTTATTGAACACGAGTTACATTGCTAGACCTTTAAATGATAATCTTAATTCTTGTTCTCGTTGTGGAATATAAGTGGTGTATGCAGCAGATTTCCACCGACCTAGTCTTTTAATAATATAAGCTGGGTCATTGTGGCTTGAAGCCACAGAAGCGGCTCCAATTCTAAAAGAGTGGCCAGAAAACCCTGAGGGGTCGAGACAGAGTCTGATGCACAAAGTTCTGACGTAGCATATGAACTTCATAGTGGTCAAGGGGTTACCATGTAATAACAGTTGTGGCGAATTAGGATTGAGACCCGCCAGGGTAGAATGATATGTGTCAAATAATGTGACGGGGCACCATTGGTTACTGGTGGGATAATAGCAGACTTTGGTAAGTGGACCTAGCTGATTTGTTTTGGTGTGATTGATGGTGATTACGTAATGGTCTGTATCTTTTTGGAGGTTCGTGATTTTAAGGTGCTGGTGATAAGACATGATGCCATTGGTGGTGAATTCATTTGGTCATAGGAAACCATAGAAGGCTAGATAAGCTGCTGTTTTTATAACAAGATTTGTTTTGGTTTCGAATGGTTTGGAGTCCAGAATGTCAGAGAGTGCACAAAATTTGGGATCGTCTACAGGTAGCCTGGAAGTGGTAGTGGGTTTGTCTAATTGTTGAATGCCTTTCAAAATATATTTTATGAGATAAGAAGACATAAAGGGGTTAGTGCTGGGATAGACGCTAATGTGATGTTGAATTCCTGTGAGATATAGTTTTATGGTGTTTAATGATAATATTAGATTAAGGTGGCAAAAGGAGATGAATGCAATAATAGAGTCCAGTGAATGAGTGTTGCTTATCTGATAGTCTGTCATGAATTTAGTGTATAGGGTGAATGCTCTATTGTGTGCCCGTGATGTGTTAGTATAGAGGGTTGCACCGGTTACATATCTGCTTCGTGATAGCAGTCTCACTAGTCCAGGATGAGGTCTTGGTAAGAGGGGGAGCTGACCGGTCTGGTGTTCGCTGTGGGATGGTCTTTGAAGACCTGTAAATTAGATCGAGTCAATGCGTCAGCGGCTGTATTGGTGCGTCCTGGGATGTGTATGCAAGTGATATGGCATTGCAGCGTAGCTGCTAACCATGTCAACCGTCAGATTAGTTTCATGATGGTGAGTGAAGAAGATCTGCCCTTATTTATGATGTCACATGCTGCTTTGTTATCGAAGAAGCATTTTATTGCTTTTCCCTGCCACAGGTGCCCCCATACACTGGAGACTGCCACTATCGGATAGATTTCAAATAGGGCAGATGTAGTGTGGAATGAGAGTAAACCAAGGGTCTCTACTGGCCAGGAATCTCTAAACCAGTCATTGCCAAAGATGGCTGCAAACCCAGTGTGAGCTGCAGCATCAGTCCATATGACCGGGGAGGAATCTGATAGGGGTATAAGAAGCATGGCTCTTCCATTCCAACGTAAGAGGAACCACAGCCACATGTGCAGATCTGCCTTGGCGTGTGCATCTAGGGATAAAGAGCTAGTGGCAGTATTGAGTAGAGAGAGAAATCACAACAATCTAGAAATTAATGCCCGACCTTGTGGAATAATTTTCATGGCAAAGTTCAACGTTGGTCTGTAAGGTCTGTCCTGGTACATGTGTCCTTGGCCAGAAAATATTCCACCAATTCTACGATTTGCCGCACCTTCTCCCCTGGTAAACAACCCTGTAAAGAGACAGTGTCTAGGTGAATACCCAGGAAGGTTAGATTGGTGGTAAGGCCTATGGTTTTCTCTTGGGACAGTGGGACCTCCAATGCTGCAAATTGAGCCAGGGTTTTGTGAAGACTGACGGGACAGGATTGAGGTGATTCTATGGTAAGGAAGTTGTCCAAATAATGTAGAACTGAGGGACATTCAGCGATGTTTAGGAGCAGCCAACATACAACCTGTTTCAAATTATTATGCAAATTATATTTTTCTCATTTACCTAAATAATTGATGTAAATAACAGTCAGCATAATTCTCATGTTATCAACTATTAAGAGTACAATCCAAATTTTATTGAACAAACCTCTTAATGATAACAGTATTTTTTTTTTAAACATAAAAAACTTGCAATGCACTGTTCTAAATTATTACGCACAGTAAGTTTCAAAACACTTTATAGGTTGTAAAGAACTGAAAATTTTAATTTGTTGTGTTTGCAGCATATTTACTGAAATCAAAAGCTATTTCAATCAAACTTATAACAACATTTTAACTTTTTAAACATTTTAACAGGTCACGTTACATTTTAACATAGGACCCCTTATTTGATAGCAGCTTCACAAGTCTTGCATCCATTGAACTTGTGAGTTTTTGGACAGTTTCTGCTTGAATTTGTTAGCAAGATGTCAGAATAGCCTCCCAGAGCTGCTGTTTGGATGTATACTGCCTCCCACCCTCATAGATCTTTTGCTTGAGGATGCTCCAAAGGTTCTCAATAAGATTGAGGTCAGGGGGGATGGAGGCCACACCATGACTTTCTCTCCTTTTATCCCCATAGCAGCCATCGATGCAGAGATATTCTTTGCAGCATGAGATGGTGCATTGTCATGCATGAAGATGATTTTATTACGAAAAGCATAGTTCTTCCTTCTGTACCAGGGAAGAAAGTGGTCAGTCAGAAACTCCACATACTTTGCAGAGGTCATCTTTACACCTTCGGGATTCCAGCCCAAAACATGACTCCACCATCGGCTTGCTGACGTCGCAGCCTTGTTGGAACAGGGTGGCCGTCCACCAACCATCCACTACTCCATCCATCTGGACCATCCAGGGTTGTACGGCACTGGATGGTCCAGATGACTGGACTGTCTGAAAATTAGTCTTCATGTATTTTTCTGCCCAATGCAGCAGTTTCTGCTTGTGAGCATTGGTTAGTGGTGGCCGAATCGAAGGTTTATGCACAGTTGCAAGACTCTGGAGGACTCTACACCTTGATGTCTGTGGGACTCCAGAGGCACCAGCAGCTTCAAATATCTGTTTGCTGCTATGTAATGGTATTTAGGCAGCTGCTCTCTTGATCCGATGCATGGATCTGGCAGAAATCTTCCTCAATGTGCCTTTATCTGCACGAACCTCTCTGTGATCTGAATCAGCCACAAATCTCTTAATAGTGCGATGATAACGCTTAAGTTTTCGTGAAATATCTAATGTTTTCATACCACGTCCAAGGCATTGAACTATTTCACTCTTTTTGGCAGCAGAGAGATCCTTTTTCTTCCCCATATTGCATGAAAATGGTGCTCTGTTTAATAATGTGGAACACCCTCCTTTAGTAGTTTTTCTTTAAATTGGGCTCACCTGGCAATCTAATTATCACAGGTGTCCGAGATTGTTTTCAGTGATCAAAAGAGCCCTGAGACACAATGCCATCCATGAGTTAAACTGAAAAACAAAATATTTAATCTTTGTGACACAAATAGAATTTGCATAATAATTTGGAACAGGGTGTAGTGTGTCGGCAAATATATCAAACAGTTTTGGACTGAGTAGCAAAAATAATACTTATTCTGCCACCGGATGCCGTGCACACGCCACAGAGATGGATGAATGCGTAGTAGCTTGAATGCGTTGGGAACATCGGTTTTCCCTAACCAAGCTCCTCTCCCTGCCCTTAAAATAGCATGAATGGCATAATCCACTGTGGTATATTGTAGGGAGAACTCTTCAGAGGGGATTAATGAATTAATGCTAAGGGTAGATAAAGAATGGGGAGCAGACAAATCGTAGATAAGTCTTTTTTAATTAATGAACTTCCCAGTGGCTTAACCCATTGGGTTGGTACACCAGCTGGAAAATGGGGGGTGAGAGAAGGGGCCTAAGATAAACCCGTTTGTTAACTCTTTCATGAACAACAATTTAGTACTGACAGGGTCAAGAAGGGCAGACTGTAGGTTGGGACATTCGTGAATACCAGTGGGGAGTGTTACTAGGCCAGTGTGGAAACCGTTGGTGAACCTTTGACCAGGAAGTCGACTAGGTGATGGGAAGGGTGTGCCTGGAGGTAAAATGCCAGGTTGTCAATGCTGACTTTGGTTCGTCATTGTTTTGGGGTAAGACGATTAGGACACATAGTTTTTGTGTGTGCCCTGAAACAAATTGAGCAGACGTGCAACAATCTGCACAAGCTAAATCCCTAACTTCCAGAATTAAAATTGTTGCAGATTTGAGCTTTCCCAAGGTATACTATGGGTCTGCTCAACTTGTCTTTTAATCCTCTGTGGTCTACAGTAGAGGAACCGAAGGAAGCACGACTAGTGGTAGGAAGGTTTGGATCGACTGGGCACAAGTTGGTGGAGTATGAGATGGAGGCGCACAAGACGCAAGATGGAGGTTTTTGGCCGGCAAAATGGCGACAGAAAAGTTCTGTATCCAGCTTACGCCATGTGTATTAAACTGGGTGAGGGATGCCGCTGCCTTAGCCGAAAAAGATTTATGATAATCATAAAAGGAAAAACAACCACTTGTGCCCTAGGTCCACCAACTTGTGTATATACAAATCCAACTCCTCCCTATAGTGTTGTTCTCCACCACACACTGAGAAGCAATCAGCAAGGACACTAGGGTTACGTCCTTGCCTTCAAGTATGTCTTTACATATGGTCGGGGGTATGAAGTGGGCGGGCGTGATGATGTGAATGGTAATGCTTAGAATTGGATTTATAGGGGTGCCATTACCATGCGGGAGGGGAGCCGGAGTGGGGGTCGATATAGGAGAGGTGATTGACGATGTCTGGGGGGATTCCAACTTGTCCAGCCTAACGCTAATCGTGTTGACAGAGGCCAGGAGAGATGACATCAAGCCCTTGATCTCAGTATAATTGTAGGATTGTACTCCCTCCTGGATGGGGAGTACATGTGCTGGATATGAATATTTTATACAGTTCGGCCTTGCGGGCTGTAGCCGGAAACGGGACCCCCATGCAACGTAATTCTGCCGCGAGCTTCATGACCGGAGAGAGTACGGGCTGGCTGGTTCTAAGTTCTCAGTAGGGGTACTTGGGGTGGCAGGCCTGGTTGGGGTTTTGGGTAAAGCCAGTTGTTCTTCTTGGTCAGGAATTTGAGACATACTAAAAATGAAAACATGTGTCGTGAGCAATGGTGCCTGTGTCAACTGGTTCTAGCTAAGCCTGAGGCAAAACATTAACTGACCTATGAGGAAGATGAAGCCCTACTAGTGCCAAGTGGTGAGATAGGCTCTATCTATGAGGAGGGCAGAGTGGGCGGGGGCCACTTGAATGATGTGGCGGGATTGTTGGCCTCTGGGTGACTGTAACAAGACAATGTAATTGGGTGTGACTGGTAAAGCCCTAAATAGTAACAGACAGAGGTTATAGCGATGCTCTAGCTATGCGTTGGACCAAGGGGCGTATACTTCCGATGAGGATGGTTGTTGGCCTCACAGGAGTAGTTTAATTACAATAAGCTAGGGGCAAGACGCTATTAATCACCAGTTGACAGCCCTACTTAGTTGGGATATAGGGCGTAAGTGGTAAACGGAGACGTACCTAATTAGTGAATCGTAAGGGTTCACTACGGAAAATGAAAGATACTTGAGAATCTGAAAATAAAAAGTTGATGGTTAAGTCTGGGTTGGCCTGGATTGGGGTTATATATATTATTATTTTTATTTATTTTTTATGAGTGAACTCATCTGAGGGATTTGTGACAGTGGTTCTGTCAGGAGAAGTTCTTTTACGTAAGGTTTGGGTATTATCTGAGGATAAAGCTAGAGTTATCCTCTATATCATCTTAGTCAGATATAAAGGCAAGAGATGAGGTGATCAATGATATACCTGTAATGAGCTAGGATTAAGAGTCCGATGAGTCCCCAAAGTTCTGGGGGAGAGTTGAAAGGCCTGAAACATAAAATAAGGGCGAGGACGTGAGGAGCTAGTGGTCACTCTCATGTGTCAGGAAAATATAAAGGATGGAATTGGACATACGGTAAAGCTGGTTAATGCTAGAGTTGGTTAGTGATTTACTTAGAAACCTGAGAGGAAAGAGGTAGGGGAGTTAGTTATTTACTTAGGAGGGTGGTATATGAAACTGGGTGTCGTTTGATCATTAGTAGCCATGTTATTGAACTGGGTTTAACCCGTATTAGGGAAATGTATAGGGATCGGTGGGATGTGGGTTATGCATAAACCAATTTATTTCTGAATAATAACACCTAAGTATACGTACCGTATGAACAGAAACAGAAATACTTCATTAATGGGAATGGTAAATTGAAGCAGTCAAGTGCGACCGCGAGCAGAAATAAGGTTTGGTAAATACATAGTATAGGGGACAGCTAATTAGTAAGTTTAGTAACAGCGAAACGTAAGGTGTATGTAAAATAAGTAATAGTAGTTTGATAATTTTTTAATTTATAGTACAATTAGTCTATCAGTTGCGCATAATACACCGTATTGGGAATCTCAAGGGGTACGGATGGTAACCCAACAAGAGAAGAAAACATATGAGCAGTAATATATTTATGTTTTTGTCGCCAGGGGTTGTAGTGAGCGGCCGCGTGTATAGTAAGTATGATTTGAAACAATTAATCGGTTTGTTTGTCGAACGACCGGCTTGCCAAACAGCGTTGGAGTGTTAGTGCCAGAATGGTGAGTACGCATGCATGGTGTGAGGTCCCGAACGGAACATGGAACAGAAAGGTAAGTATGAACGAAAGTTAGTGAATGAATCTGTTTGTATGAACGGACGCCAGGCGTCTGCCTGAGTGTGGTGTGAATGGGACCCTTTCGGGAAACTCACGATTTTGGAACCCTGGAGCAGGTAAAAGTACTGTGAGGCACTGGCTCGTAGCAAGGATAGCTAGGCAGGATAGGAGTTGGTACCAAAGTTAGTTTGGGCAATCTGAAGCTGGAGCACATAGCACCGAGCACAGACACCGACAGGATCATACCGACAGAGGTAAGGAAGGAGCAGGGAGCACTCTGGACGGAAGCAAGACCACGTGGGAGCGATGTCTTGGTAAGCTGAACTGGAAGTCAAAAGGTTCTGAATTAAAGCATTTCATTGGTTACTTTTCTTCAGTATATATTAATGAGGATACTATGGCAAGAGAGATGCAAATGATTGCTGAAAAAAACTTGCAAATAACTTGTGATTGGATAACTCGAGACAAGGTGCTACAGATATTAAAGAAAATTAAAGTAACTAAAGCTCCGGGGCCTGACGGTATTCACCCACGAGTACTTAGGGAGCTAAGTGGGGAAATAAGTGAACCTCTGTATTTAATTTTTTAAGATTCTTTTGTTTCAGGTATTGTACCGGAGGATTGGAAGAAGGCAGATGTTGTTCCTATATTTAAAAAGGGTTCAAAATCCTTGCCTGGAAATTATAGACCTGTGAGCTTAACTTCTGTAACTGGGAAAATATTTAAAGGGCTATTAAGGGATAATATTCAGGAATTCATTGGGAAGAACTTTGTTATTAGCAATAATCAGCATGGTTTTATGAAACATAGGTCATGTCAAACTAACCTAATTGCATTCTACGAAGAAGTAAGTAGAAGTATAGATCAGGGTGTTACAGTGGATGTGATCTACTTGGATTTTGCCAAGGCATTTGATACAGTTCCTCACAATAGGTTAGTCTTCAAACTAAAAGAAATTGGTCTAGATGAATATTCTTGTTCTTGGGTAGAACATTGGCTTAAGGATAGAGTACAACGAGTTGTCATTAATGGTACATTTTCAGGCTGGACAAAAGTGGTAAGTGGTGTCCCTCAGGGTTCTGTTTTGGGACCACTTCTATTTAACATATTTATAAATGATCTTGAAATAGGCATTGAAAGCTATGTATCGGTGTTTGCAGATGACACAAAACTTTGTAAAGTAATAAAATGTGAGCAGGATATTGCTTTGTTGCAGAGGGATTTGGATAGATTGGGGGACTGGGCACTAAAATAGCAGATGAAATCTAACGTAGAGAAATGCAAAGTTATGCACTTCGGGGTTAAGAATGCACAAGCAATTTACACCCTAAATGGTAGTGAACTAGGGATAACCACACACGAGAAGGATTTTGGAATTATAGACAACAAATCAGGCAGCAATATGCAGTGTCAATCTGCAGTTGCTAAGGCCAGTGAGGTTTTGTCATGAATAAATCAGGGCATAAATTCTCGGGATGAAAATATAATTTTGCCTCTTTATAAATCGCTGGTAAGACCACACCTTGAATACGCTGTGCAATTTTGGGCACCTCTTCTAAAGAAAGATATTATGGCACTAGAAAAAGTCCAGAGACGAGCTACAAAATTGATAAAAGGAATGGAGCATTTTAGTTATGAAGAAAGGTTAAAAAATTTTAATCTGTTTAGTTTGGAAAATTGGGGATTGGTGGGTGGGAGGGAGAGGGGACCTGCAGTACCAGGAAAACAGATTGTTTTCCTGGCACTGGAGTTTCCCTTTATTATCAAAATACAGTAAGAATAAAATTATATATAATTTTTTAAAAATAATTTAGTTTATTATTTATAATATATACACAATATAGTTATATATACACGTGTGTAATTTTACTCTAAGTGCATTTTTATATTAATATGTACCGTATTTTGCGCTGCAGAGAGGAGGTTGCTGGGGTTCCGGTATCGAGTCTGTCCGGCGGCGTGCTGCTTCCCCGCTCGTCGCCTAGCAACTGATCTCGCCGGGACAGCAGTGCCTTCCTATACCTTACCTTCAAGGTAAAATGATCGTTTGATGTACCGGTACATAGCTGAGCCTGCCGATTAGGCTCAGCATGCTTTCCTAACTGCAACTCAAGCAGGGGTGGGTGTTAGATCTATATTTACAACATATTCAATTGTCAGGGATCAGATTAATGGGGAAGTTCTCTGAAAAGTGCAAGTTGAATTTGCACATTAATTTTCCTTGTGGAATTTTATAGATCTCTGTTTTCATGTGTGAAGCGTAAGGAATGAATGACACACTGGCACTAGTAGCAAGTGCATTATACCACTTTCAAATTATCCTGGCAGCCAGGCATGTGCTCATTATCTGTTCCGGTGTCCTCATTAAACTGAATATTTGATTAAAATGGTAATGAGCTGGGCATTGTATTTAGACCATGTTAAATTCTGCTGAAATAAGAATAAGAAATAGTCTTGTGACATTTTCCAATGTCTGAATTGCTAGCTAGAATAATAGCCAACAGGTTTATCCACTGTGAATGTCCCAAAGTCCAACTTGAGATATGCAGGTGATATACAATAGTATTTTTTTTTTTTTTCTATCTGCATCAAATTGTGAGGGTTTTATATTGTTTGGACTCACGGAGAGACTTCAACTTGCAGACCAAACATTGGAGATACGGTACATTACTGACAGTTCCTTCAGCACTGTATTTTCTTGCAGAAAACCTCCCCCATTCTACATACAAGGATGATAAAACAGAAAAGACTAGCATATAAGATTCCTTTTAAACTAGAGGTAGTAAAATATGCTAAGGAGCATGGAAACACAGCAGCGGAGAGACATTTTGGGCCAACTCCAACTGAAAAAATAAGAGTGGAGGAAACAGGAGGATAAGCTGCAAAAAGCGGATAAAAGTAAGCACACTTTTCGTGTACATTCTGCAAAGTGGCCAGTTAGACATGGCCATGAAAGAATGGATCACAAATCACCGGAATAATGGCTTCTCAGGCTCTACAAAAATGATAATATATGAAGCCAAACGCATTGCTGTCGAGAAAGGCATTCACGATTTTACTGGATCACCATCGTGGTGCTACAGATTTATGAGGCGATGTGGCCTTGCTATGTGCACCAAAACTAGAATTGCGCAAAAAATGCGAAAAAGAATATGAATCTAAGATTCTGTCTTTTCATAAATTTGTAATTTACGCTAGGAAGAAAAATGGGTTAGAAATTGGCCAGATTAGGAATATAGGTGAAGTCCCGCTAACCTTTGATGTGCCATCTAATAGGTCTGTTGATTTGAAAGATGGCAAAACTATCACTGTGAAAACCTCCGGACATGAGAAAACCCATTACATGGTTGTGTTGTCTTGCTGTGCAGACGGCACCATATTGCCACCCATGTTAATTTTCAAAAGGGAAAACACTTCCACAAGAAGTGATTCTAAGAGGAGGAGTTGTACATGTTCATGAGAAAGGATGGATGGACGAAAATGAAATGAGAGTATGGATTGAAAAACTGTGGTCCAAACGTCCTGGAGGGCTTCTGAAAAAAAAAAAAACCTGCCTTATTAGTACTTGACCAGTTTAGAGCACATATTAGCGAAACTACAAAAAAGTGCTTAAAAGAAGTGAAGACTCATCTAGCCGTAATTCCTGGAGGTCTTACCAGCCAGTTGCAACCTCTCGATGTTTCCATCAACAAACCATTTAAGATCTTTATGCGAGAAGAGTGGAACAAATGGATGGCTGCTGGCAACCATGATTTGACACCTACTGGACAAATGAAGATGACTATCGCTCAAGTTTGTGAATGGGTGAAAACATCATGGCACTCTGTGAAGGAGGAAATCGTTGTCCAGTCATTCCAAAAATGTGGCATTAGCAATGCTTTGGATGGAAAGGAAGATGATATCTTATATGAAGATAGCAAAGAAAGTGATGTTAGTGATTGTGAACAACTGAGCTTCAACAATTCTGACTCTAGCAATGATGAGTTCTTGGTGTTCATAGCAGACTAGAAGCGTTCTCAAACCTTAAAGTCTCTCTTTATTTGTTAATGCCACTGTTGACTTTACATGGTTGAAATATTATTCTGATATAGCGGTAGTTTATTAAATAGTTTAGTAAAACATTTGATTCAGAACTTTTTTTTCTTGTTCTCCTCCTCTAAAAACTAGGTGCGTCTTATGGAGCGACAAATCCGGTATATATTACAAATACACTAAGTATGATGTTATATAAAAGATATACATATTAAAAAATATATATATATATATATATATATATATATATATATTTTTTTTTTTTTAAACTAATATTTCACCAGCAGGGAGACCGCCTTTCAGTTCAAGCAATTCCCCTGCTGGCAGCACTGTGGACACCTATTCCGACCATCCTAAATTGAAAGAGGGGACGACTGACAGTCCCCCCCAGTAAAGCAGAAGACCGATCCGATAGACAGCAACTGGGTACGTAAAGAGGGAGGGTAGGGTTTTTTTATTTTTAGTGAGTGCCTCGACCCCTCGATGTACTCATCATACAGGCAGAGAATCAGAAACCTGCCTGATGGCTTCCGATGCTCTGCACTACACGTCCAGTTTCCACGTGTGGAAATACGGAAGCAGTCACTCGGTGGCCCAGCCGTGGTGGTGGTGGGGGGAGAAGGGGATTGCAGGATGCCTAGACATCGCTGCAATACAGTTAGAGCGGCTGGAAGTGATCACACTAGCTTCCAGCCCTCTAATTAGTCGTGGACGTACCCTGCACGTCTGTGGTCACTAAGAAGTTTAAGAAATGCTGATTGGCATAGATTTTGCAGCACATGCACAAAATCTTCTCAGTGCTTTACTACAGTAAAGTATTGGATAGGCAGAGATCATCAAGCTTGATATCAGCCATAGAAGCGAGGTGGGCGGAGGGGGGAAGGGGAAAAGGAGAGTTATCTATATAAACCATCCCCACATGATCGGGGGTTCTTCTAGGAACACACATTTGTTTTAATGCAATTCTATTCCTTCAAGCCTCTCTCTACAGGAGAGCTGGAGTAGATTGGTTTTCCTTGTGGTCCAGTGGGCGACGAGGGAAAGGTGGTTATTGGAAACAGAGCAACCAGTGTCTTTCTTCCACAGAGGTAGTTTTCCCTGCAGATGCTAAATGTGGGTGGGGGAGCATTTCCACAAATCTCAGGCCATCATCCACAGATTAAAGACAGAACCGACTTTTCTGAAAGTTTCCATTCCTTTGTACCATTTCATATTTGTGTGTGTGTACTGGAAACCCATTTGTTTTTCTGTACAGATGCTACTTATTTTACAACACAAATTCGTTAGA